GAGCAGTCTGTAATTTAAAGAAAGAAATATTATGCTCAAAAACATTTGTATTTTATGATTTTTTTTCTACTTTGGTGTCTATAGAAAACTGTTGTCAGACAGACAAAATAAATTAGTTGCAGTGCTTCCTTGTAACAAGTTTACCCACTTGATGTTTTTGGATTAAAACTCTTATCAATGGAGTACTTTGAGGATACCATTCTGAAAAAAGCTATTGTACCTCAAAAAATTATGTTTATTGGCAAACATATTAGATGCAGATTTAAGAAACAAGGCCAAAATTATTTTAGTAAAAATTACATTGAAAATCATCATTATGCAATTTCCACTGTTTTAGTTCATGATTCCATTCATGAACTACAGTATGGGATTCAGGAATGGAATCTTCTACAGAACAATTGGTCTTCCTGACCAATTTGGCAATTCCAAGATTGACAAGATGCAGAGGAGCTACAGAATATTCTGGAATTTTCCAGAATGCTCCATTCCCCAAATCCCAAAATCTTGCACATGTCTAGTGGTAACTACTGCAGTTTTAAAACCCCACATTTAACAGTAGAGAGAATAGGTAGCAAAAAATGAAATGACTAATCATTTGAAGTAGCACAACAATATAAAATTATATATAATTAGGCAAATGAACATACATTTTTAGAAAAACTGAACAAAATTATATGTATTCCATTTCATACCAAAGATCTATTATACATTTTTAATTTTTTCAATAGTATTTATTCCCAGGAAAATTATGATGCAAATTTATACATGATATAATTAGTTTTAAATAATCCTGGATAAAATATTTCCATTTTATGGTATATAGGTTATGCAATAAAAATAGTCAATTTGTATTAATAATTAGCATACAAGCTCCATAGTCTTTTACCTTGGCAATTATTTCTGAAATATTCTTCAGAGACTGTTTGATTGGATACTTGGCCATATCCCACTGGAATCTTGTTATGTAGGTGATCAAATCAACTGGGGGGAAATGATTAAATATTGAGCTAAATAAGCAAACCCATACATCCTACAAAAAAGTCTGGGAATCTTAAATACATTTAAGAAATAATTACTTAAAATAAAGATGGAACAGAATACAATGCAACCACCTTAAAGAGCATAGGCCATTTTTGATACACACAAGAACTTTTGCATACAATTGGAGTATATTAGAAATAACGAGGAAAAATTCTTATGTCTGTGTAGAAAGAATGGGAGAATTTGCCTGATCTATAGTTTTTATAGTTTTATCTTTGTTTAATTGAAGACAAAAGTCCTCTTTGACTTTTGATTATCATATTGGCAATTGTAACTTTTAGAGATTAGTTTGGTGAAATCTGAAGACCTATTTTGAATTGTACCATGGAGAATACATCTCTATCCAAACGTATTGTGTTCAGGGATGATTTCTCTATGCTTACAAGAGATGTGAGGACAAACTGAATCAGCATTATATGCTTTAAATTATTTCCATATTATATTACTTCCATATTATACATTTCTTTCTTTTTCTTCTGTTCAATCATGTCTGATTCTCGGAGGTTGCCCGGACAAGTCCTTGAAGTTTTCTTGATGAGTTTTTTTCAGAAGTACATTGCCTTTGCGCCCTCTTCCTAGGGCTGAGAGGTCCCCCAATTGGCTTTGTACCCAAGGCAGAAAAGAACTGAAAGTCTCCTTGTTCCTAGCCTAATGTTTTAACTACTATACCAAACTGGCTGTCAGGATTAGTCTCTTTATGACACTGCAAAAAAAGGCTGTTTTATTATCTTTGTGTTGTTTTTATGCAAATAATATTTCTTTCAAAACTGATTTACTTTCCACATAAGAATTGGAGGACAGTCTTTTATATACTCAACCCTCAGTATTCAAATACATTGTAACAGCAAGGCAAAATTTACCTCCATTGGCCAGAAGGTTTTCCTGAACTTTATCTCTGCTATCTTCCAACACATCAGCCATATATTGTGCCACCTTCTTGACGACACTGAAGACCAAAATGGGGAAGATTTAAGATTTATATATTAAACAATATACATTTCCTGTATTTTTCTTTGAATTACAATACAATCAGCCTCCCAGTTTAATTCTTGGCATCTCTGTCTGATATCCAGGAGAGCAGGTGTCCACAACCATTGGGCCGCTGACTGGTACCAGTCCATTTTGGGACTGCTACCAATCAGTAGTCTGTTAGAAATTGTGGTCTGTTAGAAATTGTGCTGTGCAAGAGGCAGATGAGCAAGCAAAGCTTTATCTGCGCATGCACAGGATCTAGGTTGCACACAAAACCATCTCTCCCCTGGTCCGCAGAAAAATTGTCTTCCATGAAACCAGTCCCTGGTGTCAGAAAGGTTGGGGATCACTGCAGGAGAGCTATTCCCATCACTATGAAGACATGCCACTAGATAGCCTAGTAGTCTAACTTGGCTGAAGCTGCTTGTTATGTTCTTCTAGAGTCCATAGTTTAAAATATGTCAGATAGTGTTTATCATTAAGAACTGCTGTCTGTCCCAATAAATGTGTCTGTTCTTTCTTCAGTTCTACTATCCCCCTTTTAAACAATATTTAATCCATTTATACATCCTGTTTTCACTTCCTACAGTTGATATGAATCCTAAACATATCCTAAACATATCAGATTTAAACAGTTCATTAGTTGAAACTTCTAGTGCAACAGGCAGCCTCAAGCACAGAAATGTTAGTCTGCTAACAAAACTGCAAATACTTAAAGCTGGCATATTGATAAAACTAGAAAGTTTTCAATAACTTTCTTGATTCTCCAAATTAACGTTGTGCTCAAATAACCCTGCTACCTTTCACTTAGAACAAACATCAGAAATTTTCATTTGAAACTATTTCCAATCCTAGTGTCAAAGTACAAATCATGAGTTATATTATTAAATATATTATTTAACTGTACAGGTAGTCCATGACCTACAAACATTTGTTTAGCAACCATTCAAAGTTACAATGGCACTTTAAAAAGTGACTTATGACTGGTCTCTGCCTTTACAACCATCATAGCATCCCAAAGGTCAAGTGATCAAAATTTGGGCACTTGGCAACCAACATGTATTTAGAATGGTAGCAGCGTCCCAGGATCATATGATGGTCTTCCCAGCCAGTTTCCAACAAGAAGTCAGTGTGGGAAGCTGGATTCATTTAACATCTGCAATGATTCACTTAACAACTGTGGCAAAAAATCAAGTGCAACTCACTTAACGATGCCTTGTTAAGAAATTTTCTTTCCAACTGTGGTTCAAAGTCGAGAAATACAGTATAATCTGGAGGAATATTTACTGTCACTAACTAGTTAAGCTAAAATAATAGCAGTTAGCATGTCACACTCAGTTTAAAACAGAATAACCATATAGAAGTTATAAAGTGCAGATATATGAAAAGGTAGTAATTACCCTTCCACAAAGACATCCAGTTTAGCCAGCTCATCAGATAAACCAACTAAGACATCGAGAGTGCCAACCTAAGGAAGGTAAGAATTATTTAGAAAAATATGCAAAAATATAAAACTGAGAAAGGAAACTGAGCCCAAAAGAGAATGCATTTTATCACAAGCAAGTTCTTGTTCAGTAGAATAGGATTAAGTTTCAAAAATGTGTAGGAGATGGCAATCTGCAGATTTTTTATTATTATGCCAAAATTCCACATGATAAAAATTATTTCATTAAAAGCTTTCATCAAATTTAAAACTATTTCATACAGTATAATAATGCTATTTCATATAATAGTAAAATCCAGTGCTCATTACTGCAACCATATGGGAGAAGCATATAGTGTATGAATAAAAGGTCAGTGGTTCCATTCCTAACTCTGGAAACAAGGCTATAAGAAATACTTGTCTGAATTACTGGGACCTTATCAATTAGACACTACTGAATTACATAAACAGCTATGTATGTAATATGTTCAGCTCTCAGCACAGAACTGTTTTCTTGTATTGTATAATGCACATTATAAAATGTAAACATAATGTGTGTGTATAATTAAATAGGGAATAAAAGTGTAATTGTTGACTTTGTCAGAACGAACAGCTTTGATTACATATATGGATGTTATACATATGACAATAACCAGGGAGATAAATTAGATTATTTTTAGAAAATGAAGGTACTCTTTACTGGTATTGAACTTGTGCAAAGCTCTGGATTCAAGTTTCTCTACAGCAACCCCACAATCTTGGAAAGAGATGTAGCTGCTATAATGAATGACAAGTGCCACATCCGCAATTTTTATACCTGTTCTCCCAAATCAAATACAAAGCATTACACAATCCTACAAAATAGTTCTACAGTACTGCCTAATTGCACTGTGTGAGTTAGATAATAATTTACAATTAATATCTTCAATATAAATTACTATAGCTGTATAATATATTTTATCAAAATGAATGTGATCTATCCATCCTATTATTTTAAATCACCCTTAATTTAAATTGCAATACAAAGTTAAACAGTAAACTTTTGAACAGAAAAAAGCTCAGCTATACCTTTAAATCTGGAATATTAAACTTCGCATTGATGGACAGATTGTTATTTTTTGTAGTTGCAGCAAATAGCTTCTCCCACGTCTGCTGACATGTTTTCTCCCCAGGAGCAGAAATCAGCCAGAACTCTGTCATTTTTGTCACGTTACTGCAATGATTATTTTGGAAAATAGGGTAAATTCTTTTAGTTAAGAAAAAAAATAAAACATTCAACTAAACAATATTCATTTTGAACACATGTTTAAATTCTCCATTATCTTCAAATGGCAGGAAATCTCAGGGAAATACTGTGCAATTTTTCACATTTGCTAAAAATGCTATCATCCTGAAATTCATGCAGATTATCACATTCTGAGCAATCAGTACCAGGTTTTTTTAGACCCAGATTTCTTTTCTATATAGTTTTACTCAGCCCATTGAAGGGTTCCTCTTATTTCTATATCAATGAAAATCTACTACTGAAACCATATTAATACAACAAAATTAAAATGGATTATCATTGCTATTACTTAAGGAACTATAAAAAAGAGAAGTATGGGAATACTGCCAGAGATTTCTAAATTGCCCAGTCCAATTCTTTGAAAAGAGGAAGCCATGACAGAGAGTCATTATTATTCTAGTGCAGATACAATATGCAGATTCTTCTCTCTTAATTCTAGAGATTTAGAGCCATAAAATAACCTAAGCAAATTGGTGGGAGTACTGGGAGTCTGTACATAAATACTGGACTCTATATTTCACTTAATCCTTCCAAATGATTTTCTAATCTAATATTAATTATTGCTCTCCTGATTAAAATATCTTTAAAGTTTATAAAAATCAGAATGTCCATGGAAGAATAAAGGATTTAGCTCACAATACCCATGCACATTGCCTTGAGTTTCCAGAGCTCAATAAATAATGCAGATGACTAAGTAAATGAATCAAAACGAAATGAAATTATTTATACAAAAAATGTGTAAGTATACCCTGCTTAATAAAAGCATTATCATATCAGTTTCCAATATATTTCAGACTGCCCAAACTAGGAAAAGTAATCAATCAGAACAGAGCTGGAAGGGACCTTGGAGGTCTTCTAGTCCAACCCCCTGATCAAGTACGTAGGAGACCGTATAACCACTTCAGACAAATGGCTGTCTAGTCTCTTCTTAAAAACCTCCAGTGATGAAGCACCTACAACTTCTGAAGGCAAGCTGTTCCACTGGTTAATTGTTCTCACTGTTAGGAAGTTTCTCCTTAATTCCAGGTTGCTTCTCTCTTTGATCAGTTTTCATCCATTGTTTCTTGTCTTGCCTTCTGGTGCTTTGAAAAAATAAGCTGACCTCCTCTTCGTGGCAGCCCCTCAAATACTGGAATACTGCTATCAGGTCATCCCAGTCCTTCTTTTCTCTAGACTGGCCATACCCAACTCCTGCAACTGCTCTTCATACGTTTTAGTCTCCAGGCCTTTAGTCGTCTTAGTTGTTCTTCTCTGCAATCAAGAACCAAGCCATCCTGAACCAAGCGACAAGGTGACAGAACCAAGCCATCCTGCTTTTACCTGTAGTACCAGCCTGACCTTGTGCCGCTTCAGAAGAACCTAAGGCTTCAGGGCTCAGACCTAAATTAGAACTTGGTTGAGTTCTCTCTGCTGTGGAGAAGACTGAAAAGCCCCCACTCCCCCCCAAACATATTAGATGTACCATTTCCATACCGGGGTTAAATAAAGTGCAGGCTTCGAGGTAATCAACCAAGAACTGAGTTCATCTTGAGCAGGGGTTCTCAACCTTGGCAACTTTAAGACTTGTGGACTTCAACTCCCAGAATTCCTCAGTCCACAAGTCTTAAAGTTGCCAAGGTTGAGAACCCCTGATCTCGAGGGTACCTTTAATGCCCTGGGACAGTGGTTCTCAACCTGTGGGTCGGGACCCCATTTGGCGTCGATCGACCATTTCATGGGGGTCGCCAAGCAAGGCTGTCCGCCATTTTCTTTGTCCACCATTTTTTCCCCCTTTTCCGGCGGGTGCCTTACCTCCCTTGAGCTGGTGGTCGGCCTGCTCCGTCTCTGCCGCTTGCCAGCTACGCCTCGGCCGGCGCCGGGGGCAGAACCACGCATGCGTGGCGCTCCCGGGCAGGGAAAGTCCTCGGCTTACGACCGGTTTAGTCCTCGGCTTACGACCGGTTTAGTCCTCGACTTACGACCGGTTGGGGGTCGCGGCATTAAAAAGGTTGAGAACCACTGCCCTGGGAGATCATTGCATACCTCACGAAATTAAAAGATGCCCTTAAAGTTGCCAAGGTCGGAGACCCCCTGCTCTAAGACTTGTGGACTTCAACTCCCAGAATCCTTGGCGTTGAAGTCCACAAGTCTTAAAGTCGCCAAGGTTGAGGACTCTCTTGCCTTAGAGCAGTGGTTCTCAACCTTTTTAATGCCGCGACCCCAACTGGTCGTAAGTCGAGGACTAAACTGGTCGTAAGTCGAGGACTAAACCGGTCGTAAGTCGAGGACTAAACCAGCCGTAAAATGGGGTCCCGACCCACAGGTTGAGAACCACTGAGCAGGGGGTTGGACTAGATGACCTTCAAGGTCCCTTCCAACTTTACTATTATTATTATTATTATTATTATTATTATTATTATTATTATTATTATTATTATTATTATTAAGAGAGCCTTAGCCAGAATTCAGTCGGAACGGTTTACCGCGTGCAATCTACAACTGTTACACGTAGGGAAGCCACCAGACCAGTGTCGGGCATTTCTTCTGCACTTGAAGCAAGCCACCCTCGACGCCAACACGACCCGTCAGGACTCAACTTTTCCTTGGCTACTTCCAGCCCCAGCCGAGCCGGCCTTAGCACATACGAAGCGCGGGCAAATGCCCAAAGCCGCCGCGATGAGAGAGAGAGAGAGACTCGGGGGTCTTTCCCGTCGAACGATCCGCTGCAGCAGCCTTTTTCCGACCCAGCAAGTATCAATCGTCAGCTGGCGGAGAACGATGGGAGCTGTAGTCCCAACCTATCCCAGGCCTCTGGTCTGGGCCAAGGCCCGGCCAAGGAAGCTCTGCCCTCACCCCGGGCTGTGCCCGCGATGCATTTCCCCAACCCGCGGAACAGAAGCTGCCCGCTCGCTTCCCGTTTCGCGAGGGTGACCGAGGTCGAGGGCTTCCCCTCCGTTCGGCGACCCGCTTCCCCGGCCGAGCGGCCCGCAATCGGAGTCAATCAAATAACGCCGCGACCTACCGCCTGACGCGCAGCTGGCGGGAGAAGCCGCGACCGGCCCGAATCGCAGCGGAGGCGGAACGAGCGCGAGGAAACCGGCAAGCTCTGCGGGACGGAAAACACACGTGACGCGTGTCACGAGGCGCCCGGGGGGGGAGGAGCTGGGCAGGCGCAGTGGAGCGGGCGCCCCGTGATGCGACCGCGCTGGTGTCTGTTGGCGGTGATGGTGGTGACAGGAGCGGCGTCGGTTTTGCTTGGAGGAGCTTGTGGGGGCGATGCGGCTCCTTGTTTTCAGTCAGGGGTAGTCAACCTTGGCTCTTTGATGACTTGTGGACTTCAACTCCCAGAATTCCTGAGCCAGCTTAGCTGGCTCAGGAATTCTGGGAGTTGAAGTCCACGAGTCATCAAAGAGCCAAGGTTGACTACCCCTGTTTTAAGTTCTCCCGAGGGGGAAACCGGGTGTATTTTTCCTCATCTCAATATGTCAGTCATAAAAATAATAAATAAGGAGAAAGAGAAGGTTGGTTGGTTGGTTTGCTCGTTAGAGGTCATTTTTATTGTTTTTAAAGAAGTATGATAAAACAGTATTAAGTAACTTCATTAACATAAATCCAAAATGCATAGAGAAGAAAAGATATAGAAAACACATAAAATCGCTATAATTGTAAGTAAAGAGACAGGCACTGTAGAAATTTACTATATATGTAAAGAGTACCGTGTTATTGACCATATGAGAGGCAGTTTAGTTAAGGCACCAGGCTAGAAACTGGGAGATGGTGAGTTCTAGTCCCGCCTTAGACGTGAAAAACTAGCTGGGTAGCTTTGAGCCAGTCAATCTCAGGATATAAATATTACTATATTATAGTCCACATTGCTATATTATACTATAGCGATCCATCTAGATTTGATCAAACTGTTGTTCCTGCCTCTGATATTATATTACTTTAACTCTGATTGATACAGTTTCACTATGATTATCAAAGCAGTTATTGGAGTATAACTATTTTTAAAGTATTGATTTGTTTGAATGCATGCACTACAAACATGGAGTTTTTACCTTGTACACAAGTGAATGTGCTTATAGCAAGTTCTTAAAACACTTTGGACGCATTTGTCTACTGCTTTTCTAAGGTAATGCGTTTTCTAATATTGCATCCTTCTGTTTATTTTTGAGCACTGAAGAGATGGATCTTAGATTAAAGAGGCTTGCACTGGAAGTACAGGAAGAAGTGATCTAAAAACTGTGCTAGATTCCAATCAAATTACTCTCAAGAATAATTGAAAGCTCCTAAAGAAGTCCATGTATGTTTCTCCTTCGCTATTTGAACAATTATCAAGCATTACGAAAAAGGCCTTTTACATCAAAGCATCACAAAGATATTTTCAGACACACTTGATGCCAACTTCTCATGACCCCAACCCCCCCCACCCATAAAATTAAACACTCTGATTGAAGTGTGCAATCTCTGCAGTCCAAAGTTGGAGAGCAGTTGTGTAACTACTGCTGTTGCTACCATCTACACTCTTTAATAAAGGGAAGTATGTACATAGTTCAGATTGCAGCAAAGCACAATCTAAGTTTGGTAATCAGTAAGACTATTTTGATAGGCACCTAATCATGCAGCATTATTTAATTTTTAAAAAAAATTTTGATGAATGAATTTGTGCAAGAAGATACAGCTTCTAAAATTCCACTTTCAATCTTAATGAAGTCCATTCTTAAAGTACCGTATACTACTAATGCAGACATAGCAGCTGTGGGATCAAGCTTCCTTTTCAACTGTGGCCAAATGGTTTCAAACAACATAAGCAGACTAGCATTTCAAAGCAGCACATGCTTGGAAGGACATTCTCTTCTATGTAGCTAATTCCTAAAATACGATCTGAAACCAGTGGCTAGTCAGATGGAGTCTTAGGTTTACTGTTTGAGCTGAAACATTACTAATGCAAAAATCCTCAGGCAACAGGGATTAAGGCTGCAATTCAACACATTTTTGTAAAATCTATCCTAGCTGTTGCTGCATTCACATCTGTAGCACTGTGCTGCAAATAACATACTGGGAGACAAGTTCTCAAGAATTAAGCATGCTTTATTTGGGAAATAGATTAACAACACATGTCAAAAACAAAGGTGTCTGTAGAAACATGAGAAAGAAATATGAGAAGCATTCTTGCTTGGATGAAAACAAAAGGCATAGCACAATTCTGGCTTGAGAAGGCTGTTTTTCCTTGATTTTTGATCTTAACCAGGGCAACTTTGGGTATAAAAACTGTAGGCAAATGAAATATCTAGAACAAGAATCAGCGGTGGAGATAGGAGAGCAAAGATAACAAGGGAGAGAAAACAAAGAGAACTGTGTCAGCAAGCACTAAAATACAGTAGAAGAGAGAGAAAATATGCAACTAGCCTAGCAATCATAGAAGCTCCCTTGGCCATGATTAATCCAGATGATATAGAAGATGTGTGTGACAATGGTTAATCTGCAAGTTTTCCTGTTGTTTTGAGTAATGTATCATACACAGCCATGATTTATTGAACAAGCCACAATGTTTTGACTGACACACATTATACCATAAACCATACCTTACAACAGCTTTCTGTAGTAAGTTAAGATCAAACAATGATAATGTGGCTTCAGATGATGGGTGAACTCAGTCTTTACCATTATGCTATTATTTCTCTACAGGGTAAATATTTTTGACTCACACATATTTCATTCATTGTAGAATCTATCTTTTTATATATTGGCTCAGAGATCCAATGTAAATAAAAAAATAGGCTAATCAAAATGCCCAATCAGTCGGCATACCATTAAGTGAATCAAAAATATTATAACAGAAGACAGATAATATTATTTTGGTTATTTTAAATTTACACACCCTATGGAGAAAACAAAATGAAAAAAGTAGTAAATTTGTCAGTTTTAACAATGAAACAAGATAAAAATATTATATAAAATGTAACAAATATGAACACAGTAACGAGGAACAAAGGTAGAAAGCATACAAGCGTTGTAAACAACTTGGGAGGAAAGAAAAAAGCATTTTTTTTGGTACAGACAATGTAATCAATTAAGTAACTATTTCTCTGCACAATTAACTGCATAGGAACATCATTGTATAGAAATTATTTTTTGCAAAAGACCAGACTTCCTCAAATGATATGTTTCTGTTATGTAACTCAAAGCAATAATCAGTCTTGGTTTATACACATTATTCAAATATTAGAAAAAAAAGTAGTTAACTTAGTATGAAAGATACATTGCTAATAAATAAATTAGCATGTGGGTTAAATAAATAGTAGAACTAATGCTATTTCATTTATCCTTGTTCTTCCTAAAGCAAGGCCTTTACTGCCTTCTGGGTCCAAACAATTATCTACAATGGTTATAGAGGAGTTGTTCCAAGGGCATTTATGAGACAAAACTCTGCACTTGCAGGATTCAGGTCATAGCCATAGCAGAACTCACACATTACATGTTATTTGTTTCCTAGCATAAAGACTAAACAAGAGTTGCTTCTGGTTCATTCTGACCTAAATTTCCAAAAATTATGAAATGCTTCTTCAGCATCACTTTCCTCCAGAGATACGGGTGCATTGGACTTTGAGGGCAAAGTTGAAGCACAAATGATCATCTTGGAACTGCCAGATGATACAGCAGCATAAAGAGATCTGCCATTAATTTCTGGGGTAACAGGATTTATGGTGCTTACTACACTGTCTTCAATTTTTTTCTATTGTGTTATAGATATCTGTAATACATTTCTCTTGTTAAGCATGTTCAGGATATAATCTGGAAAAATAGGTTTGATATGAATGACCACCAAATCAAGAAGGCTGCAATTACTAAACAAGGCTGCAATTACTAAACACATATCTGGTTCTGTGTAATTTATCTTAATATTTTTATAATAGCAAATTTGGTGATGTATAGTATAGTTGTTTGGTGGTAAGTAGTGATACAGAAAGTACTTGGTTCAAATAGAAGTAGAATAGAATAGAGCTGGAAGGGACCTTGGCGGTCTTCTAGTCCAGCCCCCTGCTCAAGCAGGAGAACCTATACCATTTCAGACAAGTGACTGTTCAGCACAAAGTACTGTGTCTCAGCTATAATCCCTGATTCATATGTAATGATGTATGGGTATTTATTTTCTTATTTATTTACACTGTATAACTTTTCACAGTAAAACAAATAAAGTAGCTTTTCCCAGATTGATCAATTTTAATGTCAATTTTAGTGACTGAACTAAGTGCTGTCAACACCATTATAATTAAATCTGTCCACCTCACCGCTACCGGTAGCTATCCTCTTTCTTTTCATCTTTCCCAGCATTTGGATTATCAAAAGAGCCAGGTCCAAGCATAGTGTATCCAAAATACAGTTTAATTCCAGGGATCATTGTCATGCTGGCAGGAGAATTCTATATAGAGAGCCATAGGTTAGGGAAGGCTGCACTAAATCTTATAACTAGCAACCTGACATATAACCTGACATTTTGGGTACCCAAAAATGAACACCTTAGTTTCCATTTTAAGAACTCTTCTGAGAAAACTACAGAGAAGGCCTGATATAATTGAAGTACATAAACACTCAAGAGTTCTATGCAAATATGTACAAATAAATCTAGTATGCATGCCTAGATAAGTTGTCTAGAGTTTGAGAGTTCAGTACTACTAGCGGTGATGGGGATGACCTCCATATATCTCTCCTTTAAGTCCAAATATGAGAAAGCTATTCAAGGTCTAATTCTGTTCCTGATGTTGATAGTGGACTATATAAATGTATGAATCTTAATAAAAAGAAAAGAGCTGCTTAGCTTAGAGGCAAATAGGGATTCAGCCTGTACTAGAGAAGATTACCCTCCCCCCTCAAAGACTCAATTTGGGCGTCATCTTGGATTTGAGCACGAGTAGATGCTCAAGGCCAGGTCAACCGAGTATTAATCTTGTCAGCATATTAATACCTTGTTCTTTGAAAACATGCACTAATCTAGGCAGGAGTTTTCAATATTGGCGAAAGAAATTCTTAGAACTCTTGATTCTGAGAAAATTGGCAGCATTCAAGTTAATTCTATTAAGAAGGTTTTGCCCTTAATCTCTCAGGGTACCCTATGAAG